TGCCAAGTGAGTATATATCATGATGCTTCTTGAAACCAAACCCTTGTGCGTCATCTCTCGGGCTTCCTTGGACGGCAGGGTGTCGATACAGGTCCTCTAAACCAATTTGCGGGGGAACTTCAGACATGAAGTCGGCGTGTTCAGGGCGCGAGTAATCGAAACCGGAAAGAAATGGTTGACCGTAATCTACTCGCGATTCCGTATGGTTGAAAAAAAGAATGTTTTGACTCCGAAGCCCTTTGTGAAGCCAGTCCACGGCGTGTAGTCTCTCAATACAGTCTGAGAGAATCTTAATCAACCGCAGACGATCGCTGAGACTAGGCTTTGGATGATTCTTCAATAGTTCAAGGAGAGGCACTGGAAGAGCAGATGAGTCCACTCCCGAAGGGTTCTCGAAGACAAGTCCCGGCCGAGTTTCCGTCGTGCCCACATCTTCGACATAGTAACCAAGACACTTCAGTGCCCTGAATTGGGCTGTGTATGCATCCTCCCTGAGGAGTTGTACTAAGGATTCGAACCTGCTCAGTATCATGGAATCTGATCGGCGTATACCCATGTGATGTTGACGTGGTTCGACAGTTTTCCATTCAATCCAGACTCTTCTCCAGGATTCGAAGGATGGTTTGTACCAAACCGAGCATCGATGTGATATGAACTGAGCTCCGGCTTCGATGGGCTGTATTTCGGTAGTTTTGATCTTTAGGGGGCGAAAGTTGGACTCAAGATTGTTCAAGTTTAAATCTTGTCGCAGGGTATTGCTGAGTGCCCCTTGGTTGATTGCTGCCATGAGACCCTTGACTTGGGCAAGATTAGCCAGGGGTGTGACAGATACCCTTGCACCGGATGCTTCAGATAACACCATGATCTTGGATGAGCTGTCCGGTGTCCCATGGAGTAGCTCTCGTGCGGTTTGATGAGTGGAGGCAGATATCAGTAGCCCGGCTTTGACGATCTCACATAGGTCGTCAATCTTGTCATTGAGATGCATGATCCGATAATTGGTTTGTGTTTGTAAAGCGCTGAGTGCCTGAACCTGCTGCCTGTTGAGGAATTCTACCAAGTAGTCGTTCAAACGTGTGAGCTTCTCCAGGATCTCTTCAATCTTTGCCTTGTCCGAGATCGCCCATCTCAATCTTGCAGGGTACTTGGAAGTCTTTTCAAAGAATTTGAGCGACCTCTCAAGTAGGAGGCTTTTGTCGGGAAAACGGCTCTGTAACGTCTCTGTCTTCTTCATGTCGACCGCGACTGACGCATTGTCCTCAATGTGATGTGTGCCCATATCTTCATACAAGAAGGGATGCGACAGAGGCCGTAGACGATCGTCAAGTCTGCCAAATCTGAACATCAATCGATACTGTTCGTCAAGAATCTGCAATATGACGGTCCTTGACGCTTGATTGATATTTATTGTCGAATCATCTTCAGAAAGTTCAACAACATTGGCCCAATCGAGTAAGCGGCATTGCTCAGTTTTGAACTTGATGCGAAGGTATTGGTAACTTTTCTCCAAGCCTTGGGCCTCGGAGAATAATTCATAACCTGATGTGGATCGTTAGTATTAACTCACTAGCGGGAAAAGTTCCAACGAACCCTTGACACACCCAGAAAAGATCTGGAAGAGAAGTGAGACCGAGCCCAAGCCAAGTCCAATAGGTTCCATTGCGGTGTCTGCCGAAAAGTTCAACGAAGCGATAACTTTTGAGGGAACAGCCGTTGGCAAGTCATCTGAACTGTGTCTAGGTTCCCAGTTCAAAGCGGAGAGTCACGAGAATTATTAATGTGAGTACCGAGTTGCCGCCTGCAGATTCTGCCTATCACATCCTAAATAGCCAGCCTGTGTGCAAACACCCAAAATGCACAATTAGGCTGGCCCGAGGCATTCTGCTCCAACTATTACAGGCTCGATTTGTCATCGGGGAACTCCGTAGGAGGCTATGGGTGTATGACCGCATTAGATAGCAACATGGGACTTTGCCAAGTAGGACTAGCTAGCCTGCTTTTCAACGCAGAGTGCTTTTACGACCGGTGCATGCGTTATCAGCTAGCCTGATTCTGACACCGATCGTAAAACTCACACGAACCATTCACAAGGTCTCATGTTGACCGTTGAACCTCGCTGTCAAGCCGCAAAACTTTATAGTTTATCTTTCACGGTAAGCTTGATCAGATGCACAAGGCTGGAAAACAGGACACCTCCATGCGTCGAAACTGGAGACGAAAACTATCGCATGACAATGAACATCGTAGCACGCTGAGTAGTAACGTTGCCATGACTTCAACTCCAGGCAGCCATAAGGCAGCCGTTTGAGTCTCCCGTGGCAGGACTCAAAGTGCAGATCTGTCAGCACAGCCCTAGGATCTTCGATCTTACCACCCCATTGTAGATATGAGGCTCTCTCAAGCTGAGCCTACTGAAAAGCTGTGCTTAACAGGTGATCACAATTGCGGTTGCATATTTCATGGTGGCTGAAGTCCGTCGGAGAGTGCACCGCACACATGCATGTTTCGGTTCGAAGTGAGGTGGCTCGCGTTCGGCAACACGCAGATTGGGCTGACTCAATAGCAATCTGCCAGATATACATAAATAGTGTTCTGTTTTTTGCACTGGCCATCAACATTTATGTGATTTGAAGTTGATCGCCTTCTCGATCAAAATAAGCATCCAAGCAATTCGCGATATCACACTTTGCATGATCCCGTCATTATTGCTACCAGCCTTTCAATCCAGCCCCACAACTCTCTACTCGAAGCCTTTCACCATGAGCAGCTACCACAACCCATATTACGAGAGTTTGAGAGGGGATGAGGATGAGACGGGAATCAAGCTATCGCAGGAGCCTACAAAGATGGGGCCTGACACAGAGACAACGGAAGTCCCAAGGACAAGAAGAAAGGTAATACCCGAAAGCCTTTTCCGGAAGATTTTGGAGAAATGCGGGCTTCCCAGTCCAAATGATCCGCTTGCGGAGAAATGAGTCTTGATAGACGCCATCTTCCCTGCAATTTCGCAAGCTTTGGAAGATCGCGGTCAGACACAATGGAGTCTTAGTCCTAGGACCTTCTCGATTCTATGGATCTTGGATATTCCGAATGTGATGGATTCTTTCGTCGCAGAAGGGCGGACCGACAGATATCTTCCTTACAGCGAGTCCAACCTTCCTGACTGCATTCCGGGCAGCTTGAGATCTCGGTTCATCAAGTTGCAGAGCCTGGTTCGATATAACCTCAAGGATGTCCATGAACTCGAAGAAAGCGGCAAGCATGTTCATCTGACTCGAAATGCTGACGCATACTTTCATTCGATGGAAAAGCTTGGGAGTGGAAGATTCGCAAAGGTCGACAAAGTCCGCAGTTGTCGAACTACCCATTACTATGCAAGGAAGCAAATCCTACGGGGAGAATCTGTGCTCGAAGATCACTCTCAACTGAAAGCCTTTGAGAATGAATTGACAGCTCTCAAAGCCTTGTCGCACCGACATGCAGTGAAGCTGGTTGGATCGTACACGGATCCACATCATCTAGCAATCATCATGAGTCCAATTGCAGATGCCGACTTGCATGTCCACCTGCTACGCTGCGAGAAAAGTCTCGACAATCGAAAGTTCATGTTACGACCCTTTTTCGGGTGCTTAACGACCGCACTGGCCTACATACATAGTAAAAACATTCGACACAAGGAAATAAAGCCAGGAAACATTCTCGTTAAAGGCGACACGGTTTACTTGGCTGACTTCGGGACATCCAAGCTCCGTCTGTATGGACATCTAACAACGAACGGCGGTTCCAAGGAAGGCACTCCGCGATAATGGGCTCCTGAGGTCGGAGACCATGCGGTACGTCCAGGGTCCTAATTCTTTCATGTATATCCCCCAAGCTGACAAGGTTTGCAGAATCGTAACCGCTCGAGCGACATCTGGTCTCTTGGCTGTGTCTTTCTCGAAATGGCGACGGTATTGTTTGGTCGCACACAACAGGAGATGCATGAATTCTTCAACACTCATGGGTCCGAGAACCACCAGCGCATCAGCCTCAATCCTGTAGCTACGCGAGAATGGATTGACTTTCTTCGACGCTCCTCTTTCAATGATTCGAGTGTGCTCGATTGGACAGCCTGGATGCTTCAGCCAAAGCCAGATGAACGCCCCACGGCGGCACAATTACGGGGGAAGATCAAAGACCTTCAGACGGAGTTCGAATATATTTGCCGTGAGTGTGCTGCACCAAATGGGACGAGGGACTGTGAAGCACCGGTGCCAGCCTCATCAGGTCAAGGACCCAACATCAATCGTCCTGGAACAGCCCTGCCACAAGATGGCTCTGAACACATAGCCTTAGACAAGCAGGCAGCAGAAGGTCATGATTCGCTGAACTTGTCCCACGAATCTGGCAATTCAAAGATGATCGCGGAGCCAACAGACAATCGGGAAGAAAGAGTCCAGGAACCGAAGATCCAAAAAAGCATAAGCCGCAACTTGCCAGACTCGCAACACAAATCTAAGCCAAAGGTTAGGTTCTCCGAGATAGAGAAGACATATGAACCTGTGGGAAGTCGAGACTCGGTACAGCAGGACACTGGAGAATCCATTCGATTTGCTGGTCTCCCTGAGGACCGCAGGCCTGAACGAACGAAGCACCAAGAAGACGAAGAACGGGATGATGAGGCTCCAGGTGATAATGGATTCATCATTCCAGAGCCTATCAAACCCCCTCCTTTTTCTCTTGAAGAGTGCCTGCCCTTACCACGCGCATCGCTGGTCCCTTCGTACATATTAGCTGGGACAAATCACTTTTCTCATGATGAACTTGAGGAATACAGCTATGGGTCTTCTACGTCAAACGTATTCCTCTACGGACGATTGATGTTTCCGTCCGTCCTGCACGCTATTGCTGCTAGGTCTACAAAAGGTGCCTACTCGCCAGATTTACAACGCCGCATTATGCCTTCTTCAGACGACTGGAACTCGGCAAATTTGTCAATCCAAAGGGCCAGTGAAATCATGATGCCAGCCAAGCTGCGAGGATACGATCGATGGCGTCCTACGGATTTGCAATGTGCGGTGATGCAGAGGTCTGAGTACAACACGGCTATACTTAAGAAGCCGCGGCTCAAGGGCACCGCTCCATTGAATCCTCCAGAAGAGGTCATCGGCTTCATCATGGTCGGAGTCAAGAAGGAGGCTATTCGGTACCTTGATCTTCTTTTCGCTCAAGATGAGCGAGATCTAGACGAGGTGAAGCCTCGATCCAAAGACGATGACCCTGAAGAGGATGGTCCCATGAGTTCGCCGCTGAGAAGGGAGTCTGTGGACGTTGATGTCGAGCTAGACACCGGAGAGATTGTTCAAGTCCATGCGCATACGTACGTTTGGAAACATCACACAGCAGACCTTGGCCAGCTGTGGGAAGAAGATCATTTTCTGCGGGGGTCCAAGTTCCAGAGCCTCATTGAACATGAGAACAGATGGAAAGACGAGGAGCAGGCACTCGCAACAAGCATGCAGATCTCTTTCGCCCTCGTTGGAGACTATGTATGTAGTGCGGTTCTCACCGGGAACGCCGTCGAGCTCAAGACTTTGTTGGATCGAGAGTGGAGCCCCGACGCACCTTGCCGCTACTACGGCAACCCTTTGCAGGCTGCTGTAGTGGTCGGAAACGAAGACATGGTACAGCTACTTCTCGACTACGGCGCCAACGTCAACCAGAGAGACGGCAGGTATGGATCCGCCCTCATTGCTGCCGCCTTTGCATCTCGCAAGTCAATAAGTCGACTCCTTCTCCGGCGTGGGGCAGACGTATTTACTTCCCACCCAACCCACGGCACTGCCCTCTATCAAGCTGTCGGACAGTCAGACTATGCCATAGTTGAAATGCTTCTAGAACATGCCTCCTGGCTCACCGAAGACTGGGGCGAGATACGCGACCTGGCCGATGAGATCGGGGACAGCGAAATCAAGAGTCTTCTGCGGCAATACGACGTTAGACAGATTTACAAGCTCTCTTTACCGGCGCCTCAAAGGTCTCAAAAAGAGCTCGAAGGCCCGCAATCCTACAGCAAGGTTTTTAGCACTGTTGTTCAGAAGTGTTTTGCCGTCCAAACAATGTCGGGAAATTGGAAAGGACGAAAGGGAGTCTTGGTTACGGTCGCCGCCCTCAATGCTGGTGCATCTATGAACATTCTCTCCATCATGCATTCTGCAATTGGCCCGGTCAAGGCACTCATCGATGAGCTGCGCCGTGCCGATGAGATCCAAGAACGAAATCGCCGAGCAGCTTTGGACAACGCGCGGTTGGATCAGCAGTATGATAATGAAGTCAAGTCTATTCGGGATGGTGATGTTTACGAGAGCCGGAAGTTGAATAGAGGTCGACGACATGAGTAATTTGTATTAGGTGAGGGGGGACATTAGTTATTGATAGTAATGGATCAGATTGCTGCTCTCCATTCCGTTTCTTATTAGTTTTCATGCAAAGAACATATGTAGCAATCTTTCAAACCAAGTCAGCCGTTAAACTTTCAGTCATTAGCGACCGGATCAAAACAAGAGCAACACGGCCAGGGAATAAGGTTTATGAGTATCAGCGAAAGTCGCTGGAGCTTCGAAGATGAACGCCAAATGGAGGAACTAAACCATGGGGTTTTTCAGGCCGTTTAAGGATTGATCGACCGGGGACAGTGCCGTGCATCTCAGCGGGAGCTCCCGCTAATCGCTTACCAACTTGCTGCGTCGGCGCTTCCGGAAGAGGTCCACCTAAGGTGGATACTCGGACGCTGTGGTTACAATTGGGGGAAGAGGAGCAAAAGTGAATGATGCCATGCGGTTGAGGGACGGATGTTTCTGTGGTGGGAAGGTTCCATTTTCAGGTTCTTGGCTTGAAATGAACCTTCCAACTCTGGCACCAATGTCCGGGCGACCCACTGAATTGCCTTGTTGTGGAATACGAGCATCCCGCGTCGTTTTCTTGCACCTTGTTGACTGCCGTATGACTCCCGCGTCGTTTTCATCGAGTCCCATGGGCAATTCTTAAAGAGCGCGACGTCGAAAATTCAGGAAAGATCCTGCAGATGGTCTAATGACAACAATCCGAATCTCTCATACTCAAGATGGTGTTGTTCGGCGCCTTGATGCTCTTGGGGCTGGCAAGCCGAGCTGCGGGACATCCTGCTCACGGACCACGGCAACTCAGCAAGAGAACGCAGCTACTCAACAGCTATCGATTCAATACGGTGTCTTCTTACACCCCAGGGAATGATGCGACCTTCCCCGAGCCGAAAACTGCCACAGAAAGAAGAGACAAACGCGCTGATTGCGTTGGAATTGCAACGCTCAAACTGCGAGAAACTGTAACCCAAGCCGAATTTCGGCTGGTGGACGACTCTTACGTTGGAAGCAATGGCGTGGCGCATGTGCATTTTCAACAAACCGTTGATGGCATTGACGTGGACAATGCACAATTTAATGTGAATGTTCGTTCTCCTCATCTATCATAGTATCTTTATTGTGTGGCTAAGTTGTCATCTTACGACAGATCTTTGGAGATGGAACCGTTCTATCCTTCGGCAGCTCTTTCTTTGACCACACTCCAGAGATACCGAGCATTTCCAAGAGAACCGGCCCCTCCACCACTCCCCTTGGAGCTTTTCAGACAGCAGTTCAGCTTCTTGATCTTCCGATCACAGGTGTCGCCGCATCTACAGCGGAATCTATTGATGACGATGGCACATATGTCATTAGAGGCGTTAGGGGCGCTGTGATCGATCCATTAGTAAAGTTGGCATATGTTCAAGTCAACGGTTCCGTTGCGCTGGCATGGAGAGTTGAGACCGACATTGGGACCAACTGGCTCCACACGTACATTGATGCCACAACCGGTAAAGACATCAGCGGTGTGGTTGACTACACAAATACGGCTACGTATGAGGTTTAGTGAGTGAAAATTTTGACTCAGTCGTCTTTCCTGGACTAATCGGCTCTCAGTCCATGGGGGTCCATGAACCCAGATGAATCAGCGAGACAATCCGTTGCCAACCCAGAAGACACGGCTAATTCGCCCTTTGGCTGGCATTCCGACGGTACTCAAGAATACACAACACTCCACGGCAACAATGCTTTTGTTACCATTTCATCAGGCAACAATCCCAGCTCTCCTGACCTGCTATTTTCGTATCCCTACTCACCAGCCACGACGGATCCAGCATCATACGTGGAGGCGTCGGCTACTCAGGGATTCTACATCGTGAACAAATTCCATGATATCCTCTACAAGCTGGGCTTTGACGAAGATGCTGGAAATTTTCAAACTAACAACAATGGCAAAGGTGGTGCTAGCGGCGACCCGCTTGAGCTCATTGTGCAGGCATCGGGAGGCTCAGCGCAGATTTATGTGCCGGCGGATGGAAGGAGCCCTCGCTTGTCAATGGGTGTATGGTCTGGTACTCCTAGACGCGACAGCATGTTCGATGCGACAGTTCTTTTGCACGAGTACATGCACGGAGTTACAGGGCGTCTTGTGGGTGGTCCCGCCACCTCGGGCTGTCTTTCCGACATGAACGGACTTTCAATCAATGAGGGATACTCTGACTTCGTACCTACCCTCTTGCGCGTCATAGAGGGTGACACTAGGAGCACGGATTACACAATCGCAGATTGGGCAACTGGTCAGCCGATTGGGCTGAGATCTCACTATGTCTCGACCAGTCTAGAGACGACTCCGCTGACATATTCGTCCTTGAATGATCTGGTCAGCACGGGAGGCTTTGATTTGGCTACTGTTTGGGCTTCAGTGCTGTACGACGTTTTCTGGAATATGGTGGACACCTATGGAATTGGAGACGTGAGCGCTGTCAGCTTTGACGCGAATGGTGTGCCGCAGGGAGCTCGGTATCTGCTACTGAAGCTCATTTTGGACAGCGAAGCTTTGATGCCGTGCAGCGCGCATCATCTCCAAGCTCGAGACGCGCTCTTGGAAGCTGACCAGGTTTTGACTGGGGGCGCGAACAAGTGTTCCATTTGGAAAGGTTTTGGTAGGAGAGGCTTTGGACAGGATGCTGTCTACAGTTCTGGAACGAGGGGCCGAGTTGATGGGTTTGCTGTTCCGTCAGATTGCTAGATAGATTCCTTTTGATTCCGACCTGGGGCGTACGCATAGGGTCTTGCACATATTGTTCGGTCGCTAGTATAACAGATTTTCTATTCTTTATCTTCATGAAGTTTCTCATTGTAAACTCCATACTCCAGCAAGGTCTTCAAACCATATCGGCCGGGCGGAATAAGTCACGCCGCTGCTGAACTCCACATCCACGGCCCCATTTGATCACCGGAACGGAAAGGTCGCTGCAGCTAAGCACCGTCCGACCCTCCGAATCGCAACCCCCGGCTTTAAACATATTCCCGCGCCTCGGCAGACCAGACTACAAAACTCGAGTCTTGCCGCTTCCAGGCCCAATGCTTTGTGTTTTCGACTTGCTCGCTCTCAGTCTTACGGAAACTTAGCCTATCATGGCTTCAGAAATTCAAATTCGTCTCGCTAAGCCTTCGGACGCTGACGCAATCAGCAAGGTTCATAATGAGGCCCTCAACCAGTTCCACGAGTTTTACCAAGCCTTTTATGAGCATCCGATCGAGAAAATCATCCTAGTAAACACAAGGAACGTGGTGCAAGCCCCCAAAAACCAATTCTACGTAGCGGTAGATGAGTCGGACACCGTGGTCGGTTTCATCAGGTACCACGTCGTGGATGCGACGGAGCCGAGCGATGCAACCACAACGGTGGACGCGCACGAAACTCCCGCAGTCACAACTCCAGCTTCAAATCTGTTCGCCATCAAGGACCACATGAAGGAGCTATGGGAACGCTTTGGTCATCCAAGAGAGGACGAGATGAATACGTGCTATGAGAAGGCTGTGGACGGGCGAAAGCACAACTGTAAGACCCCTTGAGAGCCTGGATCGAGGGCTGCCCTAGCTTCGGGAGCATGACCTTTGGTGAAAGTTGCTGATGTTTGAATTTATCCAGACATTAAGCATATCATGGTTGACCCAAAATATCAGCGGAAGGGCATTGGGGCCAAGCTTTTGCGGACGGTGATTGATATCAGTGATTCTGAAAGAGTTCCAACTTTCCTTGTGGCATCAGCAGAAGGTTATGGTCTCTACAAGAGGCTTGGGTTCGAGGACCTAGGGACTTGGACAATTGACAATGGCCGCTGGGCGAAGGAGATAGTCCAGCATGAACGTGATCTTGGTCTCACTGGGAATGAGAGACTGTCTGAACGGTTCGCCGGCACGCAAGAGGTAGAAAAGTACATGATGAGGTGGGAGACAAGGGAATGATCACAAGAAACTTGGGACTGAGCAAACGTGAAGTGGGCCAAGAGGGGGACACCATGCTGCAGAAGGCCTTAGTTGATCAAGGCTCTGGCTCTGGCACTCGGGAAGCGAAAGCCCTTCGACGCCCGGGTCATCCAATGAGCGCGGAGTTTGCTGTTATCGACTGAGAACCCCGCGCCTTCCAAATATCCTTTGAATAAACTCATAAAAGCCCAATTCTTGTGAAGAGACTAGATTCAACCGCGCGTCGGTCTTTGCTGAGTCAATGCTGCGAATGAAAAATCGTGCATTTAATCGGCAAGGTTAATATCAAGTTGCGAATATTGGGCGGCAATATTTTAGCAGTTCAACGACATTGAAAAACGGACTCTATCAATCGGCGACCTCTTGGAAAGCCGACGGGTGAACACCTAAGGTAGAGATGAGATGTCGGGGACGTCATCGACGACAGTGAACCAGGAACGCAAAGCGCACTCATCTAGGTTATACGGCTGGCTATCTCCACTCTCTCTTGTACCGAAAGTTAGGTCAGCCTCAAAAGCTTACTTGGACATGCACCTGTCAGTGCCAGATCTATCCGATATACGAGCAGCGGGTGGCGCGACGCACAGCACGGAAACAACTGCAACCGCTTTTCTAGAATTTTCGAATAGGACGAATTAAGATATGTGAAGTCCGCGTGATTTATCGCTTAACCGTAAAGTGAGGCTCTTTTCTTCTGGTAAGCATCGTGGCTGCATGAGATAGATCATTGACAACCTTATGCGAACCACGTTGTGAACGATTCAAGCGCCTAGTCTCGGGCCGAACCGTGCATGTTGACAACACCGAATACTAGGGGCGTTCGGGGACGAAAGCCAGAGGAGACATAGCGTCATGCAGGAATGACTCGACTTAACACGAGCAGCAAATATCTCAGAGAAAGGGTTGCGTTCTCATTGATCGACGTCGAGTTCATCTGATCCGATCTCAAGGGACATACGCCGCTATTCGGCTTCCTGGCGACGATGCTGGGCTATCCGGCGGAGCCGAGCGAGGATGATAGGGGTGGTCCTTTTGGTTGATGCTATGAAACAGCCCGCGGTCTCCGTGGCTCGAGCAGAACTCAATGAGTCCAGAACGACAACATGCAGACGGGCGGTTTACTGTCAAAATTGCTTTGGCCTCCCACCACCATGGAAATCTCGTGGGTGGCTGCTGGTGAACCTGTCAAGGTTTTCGTGACAGATGGGCTAGTAAGTGTGCAGAGTGTCAGACATAAGGCTGCATTCGTCAGTTATACTATTATTGATCCCCAGTTTGACAGTTTCCGATACTTGAGCTATGGTGTGAAGCACTACATGGGCGAGTCTAGAGTGCATGTCTTAGGGGTGTTTTGGAAACGGCAAAGCTAGGGCTACCCTGGAGACTTCAGCAAAGATAAGCACCTATTTTGCATAGGAATTCAACCTTTGCCCATTCATCGGCGTACTTTTCATGATCACAAGTGACCGATAGGCCGTGGTAGAAGAAACTCACGCTCTGGGTTTGCGGCCTGGGCTTCATCACGATGGTCATTTCTGGCCAACGGTTAAAGTGACACAGACATCGCGGGGCTGCCGATCGGTATTCAAATTTCCCATAACGTTTGTCTGCCGACCTGCTGTTTAATACCTAGATATGCCGTCAGATCGAACATGGCCAGAGCTACCCGCAGGAACACCCTACAAACGGCTGTGCGCGTCTCAAGAAACATGCAAGAGAAGGCATCGAACGCTGCATAGAAGCAACAGAGCTACCCTCTGCACGACGTCACCCTCACAATGATCAAGACGATCGCTGATCCAGACCACAAAGTTCTCTGTGCGCGGTGTTCGTACTCGTCACACGTGACCGTCGAAATTTCGGACCAAGTGAAAAGCCTCTCGCTCTACATGAGATTGGCCGCCCACCGGCTTAAGCAATTTTGAAAGAAAACCGGCTTGTCAATTTGAACGTGAATGATGAGACTAGACGAACGTCTTTTCACTCAAGGATTGTCCGTGTAGGTAGCCATCCCGAGAATCGACCATGGGTCCCAGCGCCAATCACCATCGCCGCCGGTGGAATGCCACGCTTTGGTCCAAACATCTGAGCCGGGCCCACCTCGAAAGGACTTGCCCAGGTCAGAAAGAGCCTACCGGAGGAGCCATAGCTAGATGTTCGTGATTATTGCGGAAGGTTCGGGTTCGCTGGTAGACACGAACGCCCACACGGAGCATCCGGGTCTCGGTTTGCACTCCCTGATTGAGTTATGGTGCAATTGCGGAGCCCCGAAAGTCTTTCATGAATCGACTTGAGATGAATGAGACTCACGTCACCGTGGAACCGGCGACAGGCTTTGACAGCAAACGGTCTGTATAGGTGAGGTTCGTTACGATAATCTCCATGTTACTTCCTACGAGCAAAGTGATATAAAATCATTGCGAATATCCTGTCCATATCACTTCTTTTTTCTCTCATCATCACACACTTCACTCTTCAATTCAATTATCTACTACTTCACACTTCAATTCAACCATTTACTCTTCTTTCTATTTCACACTCGATCTTTCGACATTAGATCTTTCGACACTAAGTCTTCTCATCTCTTCAATATGAAGTTCTTCAACTCTATCATTGCCTTGTCGGCCCTGGCGGTCAGTATCAACGCTCTTCCTGTCTCCGTTTCAAACGATGAAGACAACACTTTCACGTAAGCAATCAAATCTTCCTCTCTACTCTATCCACATGAATCTAACACATCTACGCAGCGATATGGCGATCTCCGATCTCGCCGGCCGCCAAGTCCCACCCCCTTCGGCTTTGACTCCGGCCCCTCAACCCGAAGATGAGAACGAGATGGATGAGTGGGAAGAGGAGGCTTTGGAGGAAGATGATGGCGAAGAAGATGGCGAGGTGGATGCTCAGGGCAAGAAGAAGAAGAAGAAGGGCAAGAAGGGAAAGAAGGGAAAGAAGGGCAAGAAGGGTAAGAAGGGCAAGAAGCCCCTCGAGGCCGAGCAGCCAGATGCCGTGGCTCCACCTCCAGCTGCCGGAGCCGCCCCGGTCCCGGCTGCGGGCGTCGCTCCGGCTCCTGCCGCTGGCGCTGCTGCTGGTGTTCCTAAGCCTGGAGCCGCCGCCCCAGTTCCCAACGCCACCGCTCCTGGAGCTGCTCCGGCAGCCACGACTCCCGCCGCACCTAAGGCTCCCGCACCGAAGCCTTCCGGACCGGCAGCACCTGGAGCTCCTGCAGCACCTGGTGCCCCTGCGCCTGCGCCTGCTGCTCCTAAGCCCGCCGCTCCCAAGCGAGCTATGGCTTTCGCCGCCTAAATCGACGACATTCTCTTAAATTAAGAGCGTTGGCGTTTGGAGAGCAGGAGCTGGGAGCTAGGAGCCAAATTGTACTGGAGGAATAGGGATAATGGTTGCTGGTTTCAACATTGGGGTTCTAGGGGTGTTTCTCCGTCTGGATCTTGTACGTTCATAGTCAGTATCATGCGGTGTTTGACACGGCGCTGATACGCAGTAATGTAAAAACTTTCCCTCCTTCTTCTCAACCAGAGCTCTTCTGCGCGCCCATCGTTGAAGCGTTTGGCACAAACAACATTTGTGCTTTTTGTTTTTGGAGAATTCAACTGGAAAACTAGTCACGATGAAGTAGCCACATTGGCCTTTATTACAATATGATGTTGAAACAAAGGCACAAATACCCTAGATACTGGGCTTTTTCGTATTATCAGAGGCTGTGTTAACACCAACAGTAATCTCTGGCATCAGACTGACTCAGTTTCAATGCCTAATCGGGCGTCTGTAGAGCCTAGAACTTCCGGTCCTTATTTGCATTGGGAAAATCCGATAGTCCAAACTCAGCAACACGGGTGTCATGGCTCCCTCGAATGCTACTCACAATCACAGCAACCTATTAGCTCGGGAAAGACGGGATGGCGTAACCAAGAACAGCAGTCGGCACCCCAATGAAGCCCCTCGCCATGCCGACTTGAACTGCTACCACGGCAGCATCAACCAATAACACCCCTGACGTGCCATGCGATCCAACTCCAACATGGCCAACATTGCCAACAAAAGCCATGGCCAACCACCCAATCTCCAACGCGGCTGCCGTCCGCGGCACAAAAGCTAATTTGACGAAAGTTTTCATGTAACAGTCGTGGTTTTGCAGCAGTCGTATCTGCCGACCCCTCCTCTCCAAGAACGACGTCGCCGCGCTAGTCGATGGCAGCTTAATCCCCGCCATGTTGCATCCAGAATAGTCGATCAACCCTGGCAGGCGCTCGTCTCGTGGTGTCCCCAATCACACGGCACGTACTGCAAAGTGCCATTGCTCATCATTAAGCTTTTGAGTGTTCCCCGCAGGAGCAGAGCTCGGATCATTGCCTATCCTCTGGATCACTTCAGTGGTTATAATAAAGGCTCGAGCCATGTCCGTGAACTTGCAGATACGTGTGAGGAATGTGACACGTTTACGCTGTTTCTTGATCGCAATTCATCAATTGTCGTGATCTCATCATCGTCAAAATGTCTTACAACGAGTCTTCGAGGATGGGGCGCGATAGGGAGATGAAGATTCGTATGGCCCAAGAGGCGCAGGCGGTTATTGAGTACGAGGAGGATCCCCATCGCGCCGCTTTGGAAGACAATCCGGCAGAAGCGCGCGTGAGCATCAAGACTTGGATCGCAATCTTCGTATGAACCCCTCAAACTTCATCTTTGAATCTCCTGCTCACAGGTCATCCTTTGCAGTCTATGGCCTTCTCCTTCGGCCCAGCTGTCGGACTCGCTTTCCTCGCAGTTGCATCGATCGTTGTCCCAGTCACCAACGAGCTCGGTGGGCAGGAATCTCTGGCCTGGGTTGTGGGATCATGGTCTCTTTCGACGGCGTGTTCCTTTTCTCTCGCTGGGCCGCTCAGCGACGTCTTCGGCCGCAGACTGCTGGTCCTCGGCGGCCAGGCGACTGTCGCCGTCGGCTGCATCGTCGCAGCCACGGCCAACAACATTTCTAGTCTCATCGCAGCCGAGACTCTCATCGGCATCGGCACAGGCTTCGTTTTCGTCTCGTACGCCGGTGTCCCCGAAATGCTCCCAAACAAGTGGCGATCCCTTGGCCTGGGCATATTAGAGTCTGGCATCGCGGTTCCCTGGTGAGTCCGAACATGTGACCCTTTTCCTGTTGTTGTTCCCGTCTTCCGCGTCGCATAGTTCGAACGTTTTCCCTCAGTCAGAAACTCTGTTTCGATTCCTGGAAATCTTCGGCACCCAGTTCTGGTGGCCGACCTGAAAAAAAAAGGCGACGTGCCGACCGAACACCACACCCTCTTTGCCGTGAACTTGGAGAATCCCCGCACGGCACTACTGCCAGTCTTACTGCCGATGAAAGCCAAGATGGAAGCACGCTGACCGTTCTGGAAACCATCCAGGGGCATCCTCTCCGTCCTCCTCGGCAATGCTCTGCTGAAGTATGCATCATGGCGTTGGATCTTCTACCTGGGCATCATCATCGAGGTCCTCGGTTTGATCGGCACCGCATTTTCGTACCATCCCACTGCCAGGCCGCGGGGCGACTACGACAAGACTCGCCTGCAGCAGCTTCGCGATGTCGATTGGATTGGCCTGTTCCTGTTCACAACAGGTCTGGCCGTGGCCCTCATCGGCCTGACATGGGGCGGCACACCTGCATACCCGTGGAATAGTGCCGGTGCAATTGCTCCCATCGTCGTCGGTTTCGGAGTCTTGGCCTTTGGCTTTTGGTACGACTTCAAGATTGCCGCACACCCGATGTTCCCCTTGAAGCTGTTCGTCATGTTCCGCCAATACTCTGTGTTGCTGGTTGTTCTCTTTGTCTCTGGGATGAACTTCCACGCTATGTCTGCGCTACTACCCCAAGGAACTCTCTACATGTTCACCCCAGATGGCATTCAGATTGGGGTGTTGTCGCTCCCCAATACCTTGATGATTGGCTTCACCGGTGTGCTGGCACCCCTCATCGCTCACAAGGTCGGTTACATCAAGTGGCAACTCGTCATTGGCATGGCGCTGCAGGCCCTTTTCATCGGCGCAAGCGCCGCGACTGTCTATCCCAACGAGAAGCTCGCGTATGCCTTCGTCCCGGCATTCGGGGTACCTATGTTCGTCTGGGTTACCATCCTCTCTTACGCAATCGCGAGTCTCCACGTCCCTCATTCGAACCTAGGTGTCGCCATGGGCTTGCTCGGCACCTTCAGATCCGGCGGAGGTGCCGTCGGTAACGCCATCTTCAACACCATCTTCCAGGAGAAGTTTCGTGAGTTCGCAGGCGAAGAAATTGCTGCCGCCGCCATAAGCAACGGGCTCAACCCGGCAGACCTTGGAATTATCATCCCGGCATCGATCGAGTATAACCTGGGCAACCCGCGAGCACTGCTCAACGTCCCAAGCATTACGCCAGAGATCCAGGAAGCACTGAAGGTGGCCGTTCGCACCGCGGCGGGACATGCCTTCAAGATCGTCTTTTACATTACCATCCCTTTCAGTGTAGTTGCGTTACTTTGTTCCCTGTTCGTCGAGGACCCCACCGTCTACATGACTAACCACATCCAATCTGCGATGGATCAAGATCAGATGGGCCCGAAACGCGGGAAGGTGATGCCAAGCCCTGAAGGCCAGGGTATTGAGTTCGACAATGTCAGGACAATCCATGTGGAGGAACACGTTGGAAAGAGTTGAGTTACAAAGACATGAGAGTGGCGATCAACTGCTTTGATGTTGTCCTTCAAGAAGAAGCCTGACCTGTCTCTCAGGGCATGGATCGATTGGCTGCATGTACATCATGAGTGTCTTTGCAACGCATATAATAATAGTGAATGGAGCCATTGCATTGTATCAATAACGATAAATAGTGCAAACTCCAACGCTGGCAGTCTGCGGTGAGAAGTCTCTGGGGATGGTCGCGTGGGCGACGGATGTTGAAGTCGATGCACGTAGACAAGACGGGCCGTGATCAGGCTAATTCGTGGTGTCAACTTTTTGATAGAACGAGAGTTATGCACAAAAGACCAGGCCTTGGTTAGCCACTCATTATCTTCATTCCCGGTAAATTTTACAAACTCCTGGCACCAAGTTCTCAAGGTCGACCACTTGGCTTCTGTCTCCAAGCAGCATTGAAGGGTATAAAGACCGACTTGAATGCCTTGAACCTTGTTGTTGCTCCATGTCCAACCCACTCTTGTGTCATTACCCCCACTACTACGCCTCCCATCTTTATCGTCTCGCCGTGTCGTCTAACTGTGCTGGCCCATTGCCCCCTTGGGTATGGCCGGAGTCTAGTTCGTAGCGAGTCTCGGATGTGGGGGCTTCGTAGATGGGGTTGTGACCGGCCTCGGCGGCGTGAGCATGGGGCTGAAGATGTCCAAGAGTCTTGGCTTCCTGGCCGTAGTAGCCGTTGTGAGGTGTGTTGGGAGATGAGGCGACAGTCGAGTTGATGGTGCCGGGGCTAAGCTTGGTCATGCCGGGCTGGTCTCCTCCCAGTTCGGGGTGATCGCTTTGAGGGACAGCGGCGCCCTTGGAAGCTTTCCTGCGACGCCACCAGAAGAAAACTGCAGCGCCGATGAGGGCGACTGCGGCGAGGGAGACACCCACTCCGATGCCAGCGGCGGCACCGGATGATAGACCTCCGGCGGATGAGTCTGCTTCGGAGGTGGATGTAGCGGCCGCAGCCGAGCCGGATCCAGTTGCGGTGGCTGACGCGGTCGCAGCAGTATTCGTACCAGTCGCCGTTGCGGATGCTACGGGAGTTGTCTACGAAAGTCAGAATCGTGACAAAAGGCAGGTTCATTTAATGTGATACTTACTCCCGCGCTGTAGATGGTCGAGTAGGCGCCATCGTCAACAGGACGTTCACTCGTCATGACCCAATGCTGGGCAACCTGCTTGCCAGAAACACCGTCGCTTCCTTCGATTTCGCTGGACATGAACAGGTTGGATCCTGGGTGGACATCCAGCACGTAATTTGAGCCGTTTCCCACATTGGTGAACTTGTATGAGCCATCACCTGTATGTATTCCGTCAGCTGGTTGCTTTCCCCCTTCCGTTTTCACGAAGCACAAGCTTACCCCATTCGCTGATATCCCATTGCTGAGACTCGTCTGATTCCGTTCTCCTCAGGCAACCGATGGTCCTGCTTGGGTGCACCTCATCCTCCTTGTAACACACCGAAAGCTGTTGTCCGACACCTGAGGTGTTCAACCTCGCGAGATAGCGTCCTTCTACATCCCCGAAAGGTTGAAATTGCCATGCTTGCGCTGTCTTTGCGAAAACTCGAAGACCTGCATTCGTAGTTTGCAAGTTATTGTTGATCGGCGCCGATACATTCGTGACTCGCGTTTCCGACACCTGGTACCACGCGTTCGCGTCCAACTTTGCGGCCACCATTTTCAACTGCTAATCTCTTGGCGCTCGTGATTATCGTGAAGTTGAGATAGCCCCTTGTTGCTGCAGCTCAGCTGATCAAAATAGCCCCGAGTTCTGGTCGGCGATATCGTCGGTAAGCCCACTGCCAGAATGCAGATTTTCGAGATCGTTCGATGCGACAGGTCGATCAATCAAGGAAAGACCGGAAGGAATTCACTGGAAAGAAAGACAGAGGAATGCGGAAGGGGGATAGAAGGATCAAAAGGGCGAAGAACCAGGCAAACGTGACAGGGGTCTTAGTCGAAAGTGCCGACCCCAATCTTAAAGGTGAGCAGCCATGCGCGGCAAGGGATGAGATGGGCTACACCACGTCGGGCTGCAGCCTTTGGAGGAGCGGGATGGGCTTGAATGTGGAGGGACAGGCACAGCTTAGCAGCCTTTAGCTTCACCGTTGTGGGCTGAGACTGGCCGTTTGACACTCAGCCCCTTAACGCCTCCCGCTCATCTTCTGAAGGATCATCGCCAAGTGAGGTGGCTTCGCAGCAGCGCGATGCTGTATCATTGGTCGACGGAAAGCTGGGTACAACGCTGTGGCAGCCTGTCGCAAACCCATGAGGAAAAGAACATCATACAGCATGTCAAGCACACCAAACTCACCAAAGTTCCGTTGACGTGAGACAGAAGAAGACTGGACGCTGGACAGAAACTGCATGACTGCCAGGCCGCGAGACCGAGGGCCCCATTTCACAGAATCCTTCGACCCACAGCTCTACCGGCAGCGCTTGGCAGATCTGGGCGTCATTCTAACGTGGGTTGACTGGGCTTCAAGAAGCAAGGATTTACGCGACGCCTGTGATAGACACGGAGTAGTCCACGGCGTTAGCGGATGACAAACACACAGAATCGAGCATCTCCAGCCTCAGCGGTAAGCCCCAAGAAACGCGCGAGTCCACGACCGACGCAAAACTCAGAATCCTTCGCCTGGAGTCAAACTTTTCCAGCCTAGTCTCTGTGACTGAGCGGCCCAGCAGCAATTACCTCACTCGGCAAAATAGAAAGAGGCCAGCAGGATTGAAACAAAACTCTTGGACACACAGCGCGAGGGCGGTGGCCGCCACTCGAAAATTAGAAGCGGGAGACCACAGACCGGGAAAGCTAAACACCTAATTAGAAAGTAAGCGCTAGCAACTCAGCCCTGTCCTTTTTTGGGGGCCGCAACTCTGTTGCCCAAGCAGGCGCCAGGGGATGCCCTTCATATTCGTCATTCTCATCACATTGCATTGGTCGCTCTGGGGGCAGAGCGCGCGACGGCCGCCTGTTCCCCGGTCATGGTCTCGGATGCGATAAGTCTGCTCGGACTTAACTATCCGATGAACACTCTTGGCTATGCCTAAATGAAAAGAAAAACAGGAGGGTCTGCGGAGGGGATTTCCGGGTCACTCATTGATACCAGATAGTGACACGAAAGCTTGCAATTCCACGTCTTTGCGTCTGCCTCTAAAGTTGACATGAAGAGCCAGCCCTACCAGGGTAGACGGATAGAAAAGTCGCAGAGCTTGAGTAAGCTGAGAGGGTACTGGCTTGAGCGGCAGCAGTTAGTATGTGCATGCTGTCTTCTGTATTCCATAGACCTTCAGTAGCTTTCGGTCTTTATCGAGATTTTTCTGCTTATTGAAGTGTGAACATCACTCTCCAGACGCTGTCGACCATGCCAGACAACGACTTCGATTAGGTCCGCAGCGCATTCAGCTGCAATGAGGAATACAGAGTACCGAACATCCGTCATTCCGTTTTATTACCGGGCTGCAACAGCACCAGTCTTCTACATTTTGAGCCTATCCTCCACTGCGACAGCACCAGTCTCCCTCTCTTGCTGACGCTCTAATCTCTCACATTCTATGTTCAGAGTAAGATTTAGATTTGTTGCCGACAAGCCAATGGTCAGGCTGATCATCGGCTACATCGGATGCCTTCGCAGCACTGAAGGATTCTGCTTCAGTGTCGCATATGTCAGACACTACTTCGCTTATCCCACTGGTCTTTTAGCACGTTGAGACGGGCAGCAATACATCCGCTTCGCTTATACGCCTGCTAACAACGGCGCTACAGGCGCACGCCGCCCTACTACTAAACGATGAATCAACACGAGCTGCCTGTTCTGGTAATCGATTGCGCGCGCTCACCGGCGTCCGAGACGCCTGTTAAATTCAACTCTGACCCTCACGTCTCATCAACATTTCTCTCGATCATTTCTTGGCCTCTTGGCCTGTTGCATCACCCTCATGTCCGACTGCGATGAGTAGTTGCTCGACACGAGTGTAATGGACAAGTCCTCCCCAGTTGGCTGTGGCCTGGCCGACGAGCCCAGACACGCCCATCAACCTCGCCCCCCGAAGACGAATGCGATCAGGATTGCCGCTATCGCTTCTGGGCTCATTTTGTATTTCTCTTTTCCGTCCTTCATCCCGCTCGGCGACAGGCCGCCAAGTTTGCCATCCTCTCCATTGGCTGATCCAGAGTTTGATTGGCTCCAGGTGCGTCTGACATTGAGAACCCACATTCAGCTGAGGTGCGAGTCCGAACTGGATAATGACATCCAATCGCTTTTTAGATTGTGCCCCAGGAGCAATTCGTTTACCATCCCTGCTTCGGCGGTTATCAATGCGCCCGTCTGTCAGTCCCAATTAACTGGAATGACACCGCGAACCCGGCGAGAGCGGCCATCGCCGTGATCAAGGTCCCGGCAAAGGTACCCGTCACGGACCCCTGCTACGGCGGCGCCATTGTCTTGAATCCCGGCGGCCCCGGAAACTCCGGCATCGGTCAAGTGCTCCGCAAAGGGCGCCACATGCAGACCATTGTGGATGCGACATATCCCGCTTCTGATCCGGATGGTCTTTCGGATGGCAAATATTTCGACATAATCGGCTTTGATGCGCGTGCTGTTAACAATACCACGCCTCACCTGACGTGCTTCCCAAATAAGCAGTCCGAGTTGAATTTTCTGGCACGGCAGCCAAGTGATTTTCTCTTCGGGATCTCTAACACTTACATCGACCTTGCCTGGGCAAACTATCGCGCCTTTGGCGAGAGTTGTGCTATTCAGCACGGCGATGAGCCAAACATGGCTGAATTCGCCAACACCGCCCAGGTCGTCGAAGATATCGTAGCGATGATTGAACGACATGCTGAGTGGCGAGAGGTTGAAGCTCAGCAGATCATCAGCTTATGTGACGGCTCCAAGTTTTCAGAGTCTGATCGTGAGCGAATTCTAGATACAACACGCTGGCAGAAGGGGTCAGAGAAACTGAACTACTGGGGTGTGTCGTACGGCACAATTCTTGGGCAAACCTTCTCAGTAATGCATCCCGACCGCGTATCTCGGGTGTTGATAGATGGGGTTGTAGACCCTGATGACTACTATTCCGCAAACTGGTTGAAAAACCTGCAAGATACTGACCAGATCCTCCAACAATGGGCAAGCTACTGCAACCAGGCACCGGAAGCTTGCCCTCTTGCGTCTCCTCACACTCCACCAAGTATCATCAACGTGCGACTGGCCCGCCTAGCGAATTCTTTGCTTGAAGAGCCCATTCCAGTTCTTGGCACCGCTGAGCATGGCCCAACTGTCATCGACTACGCTGATATCATGCAACTCTTTGCCGATTCTGTGTAGGATCAAAAGCTGGTTGAGCCCTATTTTGAGCTGTTCAGTGACCTTCTTCTGGATCGCAACGGAACCTCAACGGCTACTCTTAAGATGGAAGGGGACTTGACCCCTTTATCTCTCAACGCTGACTGCATCAAGGATGGGTCGTACTCCGCCGCTTGTGTGAGGGACCAGGGTCCTAGTGGATTCTTTGCAGCTATTGCCTGTGGCGATGGCCCGGACCTAAGAAACACGAGCAAGGCAGAATTTCGAGAATATTTCGAGGAGGTTCGGGGCCAGAGCGACGTTTTAGGAGCAGCCTGGAGCGGACACCGCATGCTCTGTATAAACTGGCAAGCAAGGCCAGCTTGGAGAGTTGAAGGTACGTACGACATCGAGATTTCTTGCCTCATGGAGCGTTTCTCTGACTCAACGATAGGCCCGTGGACGGCAAACACCTCATACCCACTTCTTATAATTGGCAACACGTATGATCCCGTAACGCCACTAAGAAAGTAAGACGTCCGTCGATGTGTCTTTACCCCGTGATGGTGCTAACTCCTGTCCAAGCGCTCATCGAGTATCCACCTTGTTCCCCGGATCGGTTGTTCTCCACCAAAACACGGAAGGCCACGGCTTGCATGCCTCCCCGTCGATTTGTACCGGTAAGGCTGTTCGGGCATACTTCCAAGACGGGACTCTCCCGGAGATCGACACGGTCTGTGAGCCCGAATACCGGGCGTGGATTGGATGTGTGAACCCTGATGGCTGCGATGGGAGAAGTGACGAAGATCAGGCTCTATGGGAGGCGTTGAGTGGAATGAACCAAAACTACCGTTAGTGCTGCCAACAAGATAACGCATGGCCAATGCTACTTTGAAATCACGGATACCTGAATCGTTGCGTGCAAAGAGGTAATTGCGTCCTTCAGCGCGTTGCAGACTCGTAATCAGCTCTGCGCCGCAACCGGAAAGGGGCTGAGCCGTTGTGCCGAGCATGCCAGCGAGAAAGAGCCCTTGATCAAGGGCAAACTCAAAATGCAACCCGCTACTCTGTAAAAGGCATTCTTCGAGACCACGACGGAATTTAAGTTGTTCATCGTGGAGCCAAGCCTCAGTGGCAGGAGCACACTCTGGCCAAGGCCGTTCATGAGTAGGATGGTCGAAGCCACAAGTCCCACATTGGCACTTTGGTGGTGCCCAACGGTAGCGGCATTTGTGTATGGCAGGACGGAAGGGCGGACGGGACGTTTTTGCTCCCGCCGCCTTGCGACTCGATGGCCGCGAGTCGTTGTAGCAAAGGGCGGAATCCAAACAGCCGCGATCGCCCCTTTGTCATGCCTCAGCCTTCCACGTGAAATTTCTGACTCTGGAATTCCATCGCCAAAGCCTCGGAGCAACATGGTTCGGATGACCGGAGCTCCCTGTATTTTCGCAGCTTTGACGGTCCAAAACGAGGACAACTAGTTTCGCGGGCCTCCTGCCCTATGAAGATTTCCTGGTGTCGATCAGTGGAGAGCTCTCGAGATGCCGAACTGGAGTGGAACATCGCGGAGGAGGCCCCGGGCGATCATCGGTGCCCAAGAGGGGCTGAGGAGCATGTGATTAGACATTTGTCTCACATTCTCGTTAAGCATTTCGCTTCTTCAGCATGGTTTTCTACATTTGTATTGAGATGGACATATTTCATGATAAGGCGAGGGAGTGAGACATTCCCTGCTTGTCAACGTCTTGACAGAACCTTCCAAGCCGTCGCCTTGATTAGCTGTCACCTAACGTCTGACATTCCTAGAGCTTCTTGATCCTGCAAAATTTGAGCGATCTTTGTGCGGCGCCATCTCAATCAGGGCTCGATCGTCTCTTTAGCTCACGCAGGGTCATGACGGGACGGTGTCGGTACAGGTGAATGGCGTCCACTAGCGCCTCCTCCAACTGAAATAGCTCCGTGACTTTGACTCAAGTTAGACAAGCCTATGAATTGCCCACCCCGCTATTACGGAATCGTGATACAACGTAGAAGTCTGTGAAATCTTCTTATCCGTGACGCCCTCACTTCTTTGTTCAGACTCTTCCTGAGACAGGTGTAGAAAAGCGGTTAGTCGCGCGGCAGTTAGACCGCCAGTTGCGAAGCGTCAAACACGATGCGCTCGTCCGCCATATTGATGCAGACAAGCGTGGTGGGTTTGCCCCGGTGGGTTTAAGCTCTAGCGGCCGGTAGCGTTGCAGAAACACTCCTTGTATTGTCTTGCCCTGATGCTTGAAGAAACAGGGGTTTCTTTGGGATCAAATATGTATCTGAGCCATCCATGGGATTGAAATAAAACTCGACAGAGACCTCATCCTGGCGTTTCTCTCCACCACGACTCTTCACCTCCAGATATCCACGGTGGTAGGTGTCCCCCAGATACGAACTCGGCCCCCACAACACATCAGATTATGACGGAGCTCAAAAGGAGTGGACAACAACCTGAACATCGCACAACATGAGATTCCCACCGCCCGAGGTTGTCAAGTCATGGCCGCCACCAACTCACGTTGATCCCGAAGAGAGAGGGCCGGCCCTCCTCATCATCGAGAGCATCTCGCTCAGCTTTGCTTTCATCTGCCTGCTGCTCAGGCTGTATGTGAGAATATTCATGATGAGGAAGAGTTGGTGGGACGATTGGCTCATGGTTGGCGCTGCTGTATGTGGACTGTTCGGCTCCAGGCTTCAACGCTGACATACATTTACAGATTTTCTCAATATCAGTGACGGTGTGCGTCATTTTAGGTGCGGCCTTCATACACAAATTATCTTGCTACGATGGCTGACACTTTCTAACACAGCTACCCAATTATATGGATGGAACCTCCATATATGGGACACGACATTCGTACAGCGTATGCAGGGCCGTCAAGTAAGAAGTTCAGGTCCAAGTGGCTTTGTATCCTGGTGCTGACAGCTCTTACCCAGATTTCCATCGTGGGACAGACACTCTTTGTGTTTGCGTCCGGCCTCTCAAAGCTCTCCATTCTTACGAGCTACCTGAGAATAGCCCCTCTCGGGTCCACCTTCCAGCGAGTCACGCAAGTCACTATTGGTGCAGTACTGGCTCTGATTATCATCTTTCTCATGGTACTTTGGACACAATGCATGTAAGTGATGCTAGCATTCTTGGACATATTTCTTGGGGTCAAAACTAACATGGTGAAACTTCAGTCCCATCTGGCATTACTGGGATCTCACAGTCCTAGACCGCAACTGCATGGCAGAATGGCCACCATTGGCAGGACAGACCATCACAACCGTAATCACCGACATCATCGTTTACCTCCTCCCAATGCCCACACTCTTCCGACTGAGGCTCCCTGTCCTCCAAAGGATTGTTTTGATCATTCTCTTCAGTCTCGGCACCGTAGTAGTTGTGGCGGGTATCATGAGGACGTGGTGGACGTACTACGTTGAGGAGATGACATACGATGTCACATGGGACGGCTTTGAACTTTGGATCTGGACAGCGCTGGAGGCCAACCTTGCCATCATCTGCGGCTGCGTACCGGTGCTCCGCCGCTTACTCCCCTCGATGACGGAGAATGCGGATTCAAGTGCGGCCGATAGCACTTCTCCGCCGACAATTGGATCTGCGGAAAAGTGGCGTCGAAGACATCACGACGAAGAGCGTGATGCAAATGGCCACGAAATGCATCAGATCACCGTGCACTATTGCGCGGTAGTTGAGTTACCCACAATGCCTCCGGCAGTCCATAGTCCTGGCTGGTCTCCGATAAGGGACTCATGGGTGAAGCAACAAGAACCCCATCCGGGAAGGCGATGTCATTTATGATTGCGAAGAAGTTTATTGTCATTAAAATTACATCTAATAGTACTACACACCATTGGCTATGGTAATCTTCCAGCTGTCTCAATGTGGTGGCCCTTCCGCAATGTTCCCCCTAAGCTTCCAGGTGATTACGGTTCTCGCCACAACCTAACGCATAGTTTGCATGTTGGAACTCATTTTGAGTTGACTTGTATTCCTTTTGCTTTCCTTCAGCTGAACAGTGTATCATGCCCAATCTGGCCTTCAATACGGTTTGCCTCCAACCTGCTCAAGAACCGTTCTGGCCACTGAGCGCCCACCTCGGTTTAATCGCCGCGGCTAAGAGTGGCGAACCCTGCTGTCCAGTTAGTGAGCATCACACTTTCGGCCGCTTCTCATCAAGCTCACGCCATAAATAAAGTTCGAAGTTACGGTGACCTGCCTAGCGGGCGATGTATTCTCCACATTCATGTTCAAATTTAAGGTATCTGTTCTCAACATCTACATCGTTTCTTTGTTTATTTCCCCTCTCTGCCTATCCTTTTGAAGTCGAGCTGCTCCCCGATTCCTGCAAAATGGAGCTAAGGAAGCCTTTAGTCGACGAAATCTTCGGACTTCTGGAGACCTGCGACGAGAGAACTAGAGGGGCACCTCGTGAAAGGGTGTCCATGGCTTTGTGGGGCATGCTTCACCGATCTCCCGTTGGAAAGTTACAGGAGATGCGGAAAGATCTGCAGGGGGTATTGAGTGGTAGTGATGAAGGGAATCTTTGGAGTTGTCCCTTGGAATTTTCTGTCAGCTTCCCAGATGCATTTAGAAAGGCACTGAGAGCATGTAAGTTTCCTCTCGAATCACTGGAGACTTTATACTAACTATGTCTTTTAGTCCAGAGAGGTCATATCGAAGACAAGGAGGATGACGAAGAGAGCTGTGACGACAATGACGGAAATGACGATGGCGACGACACGAATGGAATAGACAGCGACGATGGCGAAGACGGAATAGACGACGATGAAGATGAAGATGAAGATGACGATGTTGAGAATGAGTGGGAAAGTTGCAGTGGTCTGTTTCCAGCAATGAAGCGTACGCGACCCACCGAGCCTAAGGTCCGCCGTGATCACACTGTGATGAAGAACGTAAGTCTTTCGTGCCTTACGTTTGCACCCCTGACCTTTATCACATAGGCTTTTACTCGTGACAATGGAAGTTGCGTCTTTTTGGGGACGCCAAACCCTCAAGCGTGCCACATATTTCCGCATTCTCTTCTCCCACAGGTTTATGACTTCTTCAGGGAATTAAACAAAATGAAAGCATGGCTTGGAGAGGAGCTCGCAACGCGTCTTGCTCTAAAGCTGTGTTGTGGAGACCTCATCATTGACACAACTCAGAATCTAATCTGCATGGACGCTCGGCTCCGGGAGTACTGGTGCGAAGGGCGGCTTGCCCTGGAGCCCGTCGGCGGGCCATACCAGGAGAATACCCTTGACCATGACGAAGAAGGCAGCGTACAAGCTTCTTCGACCGTTGAAACATTGCCAGAGTCAACCGGGCAGGACGAGCCTCGTACAAAGAGACTGAAGGTCGACACGGGCGGCTTGTGGTGCCAGAAAATACGCTTTCACTGGATGAGGCAGATCCGCAGCTTGAAAATGGAGGATATAAAGGAAATTAATCCCTATACGGATCCATGTACTCTCCTTCCGGTTCATCTTCCAATGCCCTGCGGCCCTCCTGATGGGGAGATTGTCACTATAAAGGCGGAGCACAAGCTCGATCTGCCAGACCAGGATATCCTGATGCTGCAGTTTCTGCTGATCACGGGCTGGGCGATGGCCGCAGGGCGAGAGCCTAAACACTTCAATTTCGATTTTGATTACGATACAGACCGTTTCTGGGAAGCTCGACGCAAAAGGTTAGCTAAGAAGAAAGCTAGACAGCGCGAGATGCGGAAGACGACAGAAACGACAGAGACGACGAGAGAGACGACGACAGAGACGATGACAGAGATGGCGGACAATGATTTCAGCGCGAAGAGCTATTTTGAGACGCTTGAGGACAAGACATCGACGATGGAAGACATCTATGAACTCCTCCAATCCTGTTTAAAGGAGGTCAATCGGAACGACGCAGTATTCCACGCATCTCTGTGTGTCCTCTACCAAACCGACTCTGACCAGCTTGGTGGAGTATGCGACGAGCTGCGAGAGCTCTGGCGTTGTAAGGATACAAAGGAAATCTCATTTTACATGGGACATTTTGAAAAAGCCTCCATTGCCTTCGAACGATCGCTCCACATCTGTAAGCGACCTCTTGCCTGGTGGCTGCCCGAATCATGCTAATGAGCTTTCCAATTCATAAGGCACATGACCTTTACGAAAGTCTCAATGGGGATGAGAAGAAGAAGCGCTGTGACCCCAATGCGGTACGGGATGTAAGTGTGATTTCCCATCTCTTCTTTCCCTGTCTCCTCTTCCCCAGGCCTCATCTCCCATTTTCGTCCCCTACATCCCGCTCCGTCCCCACTTCCGCCTGTCTCTGGCTTTGTCTGTGTCTCTGTCTCCATTCCTGTACTCCTTATGCCTTCCTCTGGGTCTATCTCAGTGGCCAAACCCTCTTATCCGTTGCTAACGTTATTATTCCACAGGCCCTGAACCGCGACGACGGGAAGTGCGTCCTACTTGGAACGGCGGACCCGATGGCTTGCCACATAGCCCCCTTCGCAATCAAAACATTCTTGTCAGAGTTAACCCGCATTCCTGCCTTATTTCCAGCAGATCTCTTGCATAGAGCCCACAACAAGGTACAGTCCGATGATAACATTCTGTGCACAACTCGCAACGTCCTCTCCATGAATACCCAAATGCGCCAGTACTGGGCAAACGGCCGCTTCTCTCTGGAGCCCTGGGGCGAACCTCATCAAGAGACGACAGAAAGACGCCGGACAGGCACTGGCGGTTTGTGGTGCCAGGAAGTGCGCTTCCACTGGATGAGACAGACCACGATCAGCATGCAACAGAAGTGGGACGGGAGAGGCCAGAATCTCCGCGATTTGCTTCCCCCGCGCCTCGGCAGATATCACCATTGGAGCGCCAAGACGGGTCGGTTGATTCAAGACGGCGAAGTAGTTGCCATCAAAGCCAAGAACCGACTTGACCTCCCCGACCGCGACTTTCTGGAAATCCGGCATCGTCTCATTTCGGCTTGGTCGATGGCAGCAGGGGTTGAGCCGAAGAACTTCACATTTGAGGACGAGGGTCCAGATCAGCCGTGGGGATAAGGACTGGAGAGGGTGAAATATGGTGAATGATGGCATTTCCAGTAATCATCTTCATATGGTTTATCTGGCGTCTTATTTCCTACCGGCATTTGCCATCAACGGGGTATCTTCATTGTCTTCACGCCCTTCTGATCTCGCGGTTATCCTCAACCTCGGGTGCTTTGCTCGCCGCGCCCTCTGCCTTCATTCCATCACACCCAAACACCTTGCCAGCCGTCTCTTCGGCCTTGCCGTATCCCTGCGCTGATGCGTCGCGCTGCTGGCCTGCAGCTTTCATTGTGGACGCAGCGTGTGCCTTGTCCTGCTCTCCTGAGGATTGCCAGGCGTGGGAGCCCGTGATGTTGCCAATGGCAGCCTGGGAACATGTCAACCTCTGGCGACGCAATGATGTCACTTTCTGAAAAGGAAGGCTTCTTACCTCCGCGGCGCCTTTGATGTACTCGGCGTGGCCAGCGACGAGGCCGGGCTGTTGGTTGTTGTTGTTATTGGAAGACATTTTGAAATGATTTGTGAGAGTATTATTCAATTGATCGCAGTGAATTCATTTGGGAAACCTTTAAAATGAAAGCTACTTTGATCGCCTTTTGAATGATGTTGATGGTGATACATTGGTACAAGGGGGCTTGACCCAATGACGTCAAGACATCGACGTCATCTTTCGGGGTGGCCGCATCACATGATGTTCGCGCTACAGCTGAACTATTGACAGCCGCCAGGCTAGAACTCTAGTAGTACACGGACAATGGGCTATGATGGTGTTCATCCCGTCGGGAATCACAGTTCGATCATGATGGATAACTCAAAATGTTGACATTAAATCCTGTAGCGGATCTGCGGCGAAAGAACTACACGAAAATCTAAATGGTCGGGGGTATCTCTTCTTAGACCTGCTCAGAGTGAGTGGCCTCTCTCATGCCATCCTTCATATCCTCCACAGCAGCAACGCGGTCCTCGAAGCGCACACCAGCACTGCGGCTGCGCCAGGCAGGGATGTCTGAGTCGAAGAGCACATCGATCTCTTCCAGCGTCTTGCCGGCTGTCTCGGGGTACGTGAAGAAGATGTGGAACGTCATAGCAAAGCAGAACGTGCCGAAGATCATGTATGTCTTCCACTGGATGTTGGTGAAGGCCGGCGGGACGAAGAAGGCGAGGGCAAGGTTGAAAGCCCAGTTAGATGCCGCCGCGAGACCGACGCCCGTGGCGCGGTACTTGAGCGGGAAGACCTCGGCGGCGTAGATCCAACCGATGGGCGCCCAGGTGAGGCCGTAGACGCCGACGAAGATGTAGCAGAGGGCGATGACGGCCTTGGCCGGGGGTCCTTGGATAGACCACTTGAGGATGTCGTTGCCGTCGACGGAGTCAACCGCGTGGCCGTACGAGGCCATGACGGCGCCGGTGGTGAAGTGGATGATGCAGCAGATGATAGCACCACCGATGAGGAGGGGACGGCGGCCGAGGCGGTCGATGATGGGGAGGATGGCGCCGGTCGTGACGAGGAAGATCACATACTGGATGATCGAGGACGTGAGGGCGACGTTACCGCTCTGTGAAAGTGTTAGAGAAGAGGATGCATTGATGAAACGGAGCGCTTACCATGCCAGCCATGTTGAAGATGTAAACGAGGTAGTAGAGCATCACATTGCCTCCGAGCAGTTGTTGCCACACCTGCACCGAGCACCCGGCGAGAGTGCGTTTCCAGATCTTGGGTCCGAAGAGTCCCAGGACGCCAATGTTCTTGGACTCGGCGGCGACACGGGCGGCGTCCTTGACCTCATCCAACTCGGCAAGAACCACAGGCGACTCGCGGTCACCGCCGCCGTGCAAGTGGGCGAGAACCTCGTGGCACTCCTCCCAGCGGTCCTTCTGGCCCAGCCAACGGGGAGACTCGGGGAAGAAGAAGAGGGCGATGCCGAGGATAAGACCGGGGATGCCCTGGACTCCCCACGCGATGCGGAAGGCCTTGGGGTCGTTGGGCATGGAGACGACGCAGCCGTAGGAGATGAGGTACATGATGAGGATGCCCCATTCGATACTCCACTGCTGGATTCCCACGATACGACCTGCGGATATGTGAGATTTCTGTGATTTTAGAAGGATGATAGTATGCGGGATGAATTACCTCGAATGCGGGAGGGAGCGAGCTCAGCGAGGTACACGCAGCACTGTGAGCTTGTAATGCCGATAGCAAGACCGCTGACGATGCGGCCGACGATGAGGTGGGCGACGTTCTGCGACGAGCATTGGAGGACGGCGCCGATGATCCAGATGACGGAGGCGATCTTGAGCGCGCCGCGGCGGCCCAAGGCGTCGGCGAGAAAACCGGCGACGAGGGCTCCGACGAGAGAGCCGCCGGACATGGAGGCGGTGATGCCGCCCTGCATAGTCGAGGAGGGGTGGTTGAAGAACTCCATGTAGGCCTCGGAGCCGATCCAGGCGCTCATAGAGCTGATGTCGAAGCCGAAGAGCATGCCGCCAATGGTGCCGAAGGCAGCCAAGGCTGATTGACGGGGCAGGTCAGTATGAGCCGTTATAGATTGGATGGAGCATGGTTGAGGTGCACACCGTAGATGTTCCATATGCGATACATGATGGGCGGTTTGCCTCTGTGAGGTCTTAAGGACGGAAGGCGGTTCCTTTGCTGTCGAGGTGAACAGGTGGACGGGAGAATGGCGCGATAAAACGCTGGCGAAGACTAGGCCCTGGATACTCAAACACTAGACAGAGCCAGAGGTGTGTGAGAAGGGGGACGGATGGTTATATAGCCAACTGAAGATGTCCCGGTGTAATACGACCGGTTGACCGACAAACATCACCGAGGAACCAGATCAAGCCCGACAGCACACTCCCGGGGGCCAATTTTCTTTAGTGGACGTTTCTCTTTCTCTCTCCAACCTAGACTACACCCCTGCTCACCAGCATGTCGTTGGTTGTCGCACGCGGGCGGCGGTGGAGCCGGCATCAGGCGCAGACGGTATTAAGGCGGATACGGTAAGGCATGGCCCGTCGCGCCATGGGGGAAGAACAAAAGAGCCAGAGCCCCATTGTCTAAAGCCAGCGGTAGGACGGGCTTAATCAACTGGTTTCTTTAAGCGCACGTATAAGAGGGCGGGATTGTGGGCGGGTCTGGGGCGCGAACGACGTCATGTACGGGCGAGGAAGCCAAGGACATGGCCTGGTCCGGCTTTTGAGGTTGGGGGTTTTGGTCTGGGGCGATTGACGCGTGGAGTCTGCCCTTTTGCTCTTGTTTATGTTGATTTGTATTCTTACACTGCAAAGATTCATGCGTCTGGGATGGAAGTGAGCTATGAATGGCCATAGTTTCCGGGAGCAAACAGCGAGAATTCTAGACCAAATTCACAAAGTCAAGAGTCCTCGAAATGCCTTCGCTGTTTCCTCTGCGTGTTACCAGGTATGCAGTAAAGTGTGTAGAGTGGAGCGTGAGGGGAAACGAAGGGGCCGGGGTTATGGAGAGGGGAAATGCTTGGGGGAACAGTGGATGGACTTGGGGAAAATTGGGGAACACGAGAAACAGAACTTCGGACACTGTCGAGAGGAAGAGGCCAAATGGCGGCCTTTGCGCCCGAGATTCTGTCTGACACGCTTTATCCGAACCAGTCATCTCTTCAGGTTTCTGATGGTGTTTCGCTGGGAATTTCATGGCTGTTAGTTCGTGTTAGTGCCACTTACTAACAATTATCACTTGGTGTCTCGGACGTCTTCAGAATGTTGGAGAAGTCACTATGTACAGTGACCCTTCACCCCTTTTGGTGTGCCTCACCGGGCAGGAATCGTGTGGTGGACCAGATGGCGTGGGTGCCTCGGGAAGATTGGGGCTCAAAGGCACGATCGGCGTCATCCTTTACCCAGAGAGGCATGGCGTCCTCCGCGACCCGCACCTGTGATGTCCGCTTGTGGCTCCCCAGGAACAGCTGCCGGGGTTCGTATGGAACACTGCGAAGGACACCACGCCAACAGAATGCAACTGGAGCGCGAAACCTGGCGTCATTCTTGCTGCTTTTCTGCTGTTTGACTGCCATTTGCTTGGCTTGCTCCGGTTGATTCCGGTTGGCGAGGATGCGGCGTGTAATTGCAAGCATAACGGTGATACGTTCCTGCGCAGAATCGGCATCTGTCCGAGTCCCTTCATGTTGCTCTAGGCGCCGACTACTTGTCGTCGCATTCTGCAGGCACAGACTTTCGTCCCGGGGCGAGAGGGTGTGTGGCGATATGTCGGTTGGCAGCTGTCTGCATCTCTGTCAGAAACTCACGACAAACTGCAACATTCAGGCAAAAGATCGGAACCATAAAAAATGCTTAATTCTGTGCCAATCCTAGAGAAAAGGGGTTCAATGGTTGCGATCTTCTTTTGCCTGAATGCACTGTACCGCGCTTGTTCCCGATGTTATGGGCCCCAAGACACACGACAGGCAACGACCGGTCTCGCCCCAAGGTTCACCTCAAGTGTGGAAGAACCTAACTGCTACAACGCCGCGCGGTGTGGAGGAAGCTTTTGCATCCAACTCTAGAGACGGCAATGCGTTCTTCTCGGCACTTGGTCGCGGTTCATCCCCCGTGGGGCCGGAGCACACCAAGAAACACCACACCAGGCACCCATAATTCTGACTTTGAAAAGATCAAACAGCCGCTCTGCACGGCCACTGTCTTTGCCTCATGTTTTTGCGCTCCAACGGCGTGTCGACGGGTCGCCGGTTGTACTGTTAATGCTCTGGGTTCACTGCCGCCGCCCGCGCTTAACGTGTTTGGCCCGGCGCCGTGGAGAATTTAGCCGTTCCGGGATCTCCCATCGAGCGCCCGGGACCCACTGCCGACCAGCGTCGCATTCTGCTCGGCTCTATCGGCGTTGGTGGCGATGAAGTCTGATTGGCCGCACTCCGCCCAGTCAGCTGTATCAATTTGATCGAGGCCTGGTTATGTCAAGAATGAGATCAGCTCGGATGAATACGATTTCATAATTACTTCCAAAGAACATCATCCAACCG